GGAATTTGAAGATTCCGTTACTTCAATTGTTTAAACTTTATTCCGGTGAGAAAATGGAGTTATGATTATTAAATCAAATAGGTGTCACAATTCGTGACTTTTTGGTCGGTCTCGTGTAAATTCATGATTGGATAATTGCATCAGATGGATAATCTCGATCATAGCGATCGATCCAGTTTCTTGCTTTAATCAGATTAGGTGGATCCATCAACTTTACTATCTCTTTATCTTTGTGTTTGCTTGGAGTGTACTCTATGTTTCTTGAAGCTTTTTTCTTTTGTGTTCCTCCTTTTGCTTCCTTTTGAAGGGTTTTAGTATAAATGTTCCTAGGGTTCATCCATTTTTTGGGGAACAGGATATTTCGTCACAGTATTACAGGGATACTCTTTCTTTATTCCTTCTTGCTTTAAATTATTCTCTGGTTTATGCGGTTTCTGGAGAATTCTGACCATTCTTTTTTTCGTCAAGTTTTGTGAGGTTTGATTGGTTTCTAGTTGGAGATGAGATTTTTATATTGATCTACACAAAAGCTAGAGTCATGTTAGCTTAGCTTTTCCTTTTTCTCTAGTCTTGACATTCCATTAGCAAGCAAAGAATCAAGTTGCAAGATAAGACCGAAAACAAGAATCTTTCTTTCTCTCCCTAAACCAGAGAGAATCAAGGCGGGTTAACATCGCCGCAAATTCCCTCCCTCTCCTTTTGATTCCATCAAAAAAGAGAGGATAATAACTAGCTAATGTCAAAAATCTTGATCCAAGAAGGCTTTGTGTAACACCTAAAAAACAGAGGATGATTTAAGTCAAGTAGAGTAGTTTAGTTGGGAATCACCTGAAGTTAACTAACTCTTTGCTTTGGGGGGGGGGGGGCAGGTATGAATAAGTTTGCCTAACTTAATTTATTAGCTCTTTCTACATACGTAGGGCCCTGCTTTACCAGACTCTAGTATTTTTTTTGTGAATTTTCCTTAGTTTATACGCAAACGACTTTGTAGTCAATTTCTTCTTTGGTCTAAACTCTGAAATCATCATCACTTTCTTTTTTATTAATGGGATCCTTTTGGTGGAGAGAAGAGAAGGAGCAAGCAAGCAAAGTAATTGAAACTAAAACCCAACCCTTTCTTTATCCTCACTTTTCCTTTCCTATTTAATATCTTTCCTACTTTAATTCTCGTGTCTATAACATTAATTAAATCCATAGCTTTATATCGGTTTGGTTTTCATAAGAGGTTAGGTACGTGGCTACAACTCTATGTCCCTTTATCATATGACTGAGAAATTGAATGCACTAAGGTCTTGGAGGAAGAAAGATTGGTTTTTGCCTATTTACTAAGTAACACAAAGTGTCATTGTCTTTGAGAATATCCTCTTCTGAGACTATTCTGAGTTTTGCTGTTGAATTTTCATTGTTTCAGGAATAAGGTGAGCATAATTGAAGCTGGTGCTTTAGATCCAATCATCAACTTCTTACAATGTCATAGCCCAACACTTCAAGAGTATGCTTCTGCATCTTTGCTCACTCTCTCCGCTTCTGCAAACAACAAACCAATCATTGGAGCCAATGGAGTGATTCCTCTATTAGTCAAAATTGTTACACATGGAAGCCCACAAGCTAAAGCTGATGCAGTAATGGCCCTTTCCAACCTCTCTACACACCCCACTAACCTAAGCATGATCCTAGCGACCAAACCACTCTCGCCGATACTGAAACTTCTCAAATTATGTAAAAAATCATCAAAAACATCTGAGAAATGTTGTTCTCTGATAGAATCCTTGATGGTTTCTGGCGAGGAGGCGAGAACGGGGTTAGTTTCAGAAGAAGGGGGAGTATTCGCCGTGGTGGAAGTACTTGAAAACGGGTCATTACAAGCTCGGGAACACGCTGTTGGCGTGCTTTTAACGCTCTGCCAAAGCGATAGGAGTAAATACAGAGAGCCAATTCTTAGAGAAGGTGTAATACCAGGACTGCTCGAGCTCACAGTTCAAGGTACATCGAAATCTCGGACTAAAGCTCAAAGACTTCTCTGTTTACTAAGGAACTCGGAAAGCCCGAGATCAGAGGTTCAACCCGATACAATAGAAAACATAGTGTCGAGCTTAATCTCTCATATAGACGGAGATGATCAATCCGGTAAAGCTAAGAAGATGCTAGCTGAAATGGTGCAAGTTAGCATGGAAAAAAGCTTGAGACATCTACAAGAACGTGCTTCCACTCTTGTCCGTCCTTAAAACCGCGATCGAAACCGCATTTCCCGAGGTCTATTTCCAAGTGAAAATGAAATACCGCGAGTTTGATTCCGCATAAGGGTGAGGAAGATTGAAGTATGCATATATATGCCAGTCCAGTGCCCGGCGTTTTGGTTCTTAGTGACTGGTTTCTTTTTATTCGAAAGTGTTCATAATAAAAGCTTTTTGTAAGTTAAAAAAAAAGTCCTTTGTGTGTACATAACTATAGAAACGCTTTTACTTTTGAAAAGTTTCAATTATGTTGTTGTGCCTTTAGAGTGTTCATTTCGGTTTATATTATAAAACTGAGGATTTTGAACTGGAGTTTAGACATCAACTTCAAGTCTTTAACACTACTAGATATTTATCTTTTAAAATGACATTTTTATTCAAGATCACACGTATCACGTTTACGAACAATAATCATCACTATAGACCCACCTAATCCTTTGTAGAAGACCATTGAATTTGAGGCTTATGATCTCATAAAAGAAGGAATAATTTTCACCTTACATATTTTCAAAAGTTGTATACGTACGTGAAGATCAAAATTCACATCTATATTACCTCATCGAACCCATACTAAAGAGAGAAACAAAAGAACAATTTGTTTGTTCTTTTAATGTTTGAAAAACAAAAACGTACCAAAAAGATATATTTGATAAAATCATTTTAACAAAGGCTGACATCAGACCTCGAAACTGAAAGTACGTTTTGGATCCGCCTTTTCAGAAACGCTCACGTTCACTTCCCATGTTATCGACGAAACGGTCCAAAATTGAAAATATCTCAAATGATTTTGTCTTAATAAAAAAGCATTATTTATACATATATTGGGTGAAATAAAAACATACAGAATCGTTATCCTTCCATTTATTGAACAAACTTCG